ACACCCTGGGCTTTCCCCCAACCAGTTCGGCATGTCACCCTCGTTCAGTTCACATTTGAGCAGTCATGTCCGTAAGACTTTATGGGTGTAGGTTCTATATTACTAAGAGACGCAGTCTCACAGCAAAATCCCTGATCCAGTAGCTCTTAAAATCTTTAAGACCCCAAGCCTTGGGTGTGGGGGTATTTTGTAGCTGTAACCACTGGGACTGGGCTCCACAACTCTGTATTTTGATTGGCTGTCAGTTTCTGCAAGGGTCTCCATCTGTTTCAAAGAGAATTTTCCCTGAATGATGACTGCACTGACCTGTGAGTAAAAGGACAAATATTTATAGATTGTTGTTAGAGGTTAGGCTGATTTAGTAAATTAGGGGGTTTGTAGCTAGAGTTTTCCTGCCTTGCCCACAATCAGGACAAATCTTTGTCACCCACCAGTCCCACAGCCGCTCAGACCCAACCAAGTAAACACAGAGACTTATATTGGTTACAAACTGTATGGCTGTGGCAGGCTTCTTGCTAACTGTTCTAACAGCTTAAATTAACCCATTTCTATAAATCTATACCTTGCCACGTGGCTCGTGGCTTACCGGCATCTTCACATGCTGTTTCTCATCATGGCGGCTGGCAGTGTCTCTCTTGCCTTCCTGTTCTCTCAATTCTTCTGTCTGTTAGTCCCGCCTATACTTCCTGCCTGGCCACTGGCCAATCAGTGATTTATTTATTGACCAATCAGCAACACATTTGACATACAGACCATCCCACAGCAGGGGTTAGATTCTCCCTCAACAACACTTCGCTAGCATTGAGGAGTTTGCTGGGTTTCCAGTACCAGGCACAGTCTTCCTCTCGTTTAGTGGGTCTAAAGTCCAACTAGAGAGCTGTTAGTTAGAGCAAAGATATATGTGCCACTACCACACCCTTACGGTTATATACCATGCTGGTTTTGATATGGTTCACAGATGCCATAGCTGGGTAGGACTATTGGTTGCCTCCCTACTTTGGAAGTTTGCATGACACCTTCTGGTACCATGAAAGCTAGACCCCAGACTCCATTTGCCTAAGAATTAAGGCCAAAATTGGCAAATGGGAATTCATGAAACAAGAAGCTTCTGCACAGATAAAGAAACAATCAACCTTTACTCCCAGAACTCGGGAGGCAGAGCCAGGCGGATCTCTGTGAGTTCGAGACCAGCCTGGTCTCCAAAGTGAGTTCCAGGAAAGGCGCAAAGCTACACAGAGAACCCTGTCTCGAAAACCCGAAAAAAGAAAAAGAAACAATCAACCAGGTGAGCAGAAGGCCCACAGAATGTAAGAGAATCTTCACTAGCTCTTCATAAGACAGAGATTTAATATACAGAATAAACATAGAACTCAAAATCAAAGTGAAAAAAAGATAAAGGAACTACTCAATAAATGGGCTAGAAATAGAGCATTCTCAAAAGAAGAAAAAATATATAAGGAATGTATCAAATGTTCTTTGAGCCAGGCAGTGGTGGCACACACCTTTAATCCCAGCACTCGGGAGTCAGAGGCAGGTGGATGTCTGAGTTCGAGGCCAGCCTGGTCTACAGAGCAAGTTCTAGGACAGGCTCCAAAGCTACACAGAGAAACCTTGTCTCAAAAAAAAAAAAAAAAAAAAAATGTTCTTTGAGCCTCAGAACACAATTCAAAGCTGCTTGAGTCTGTGTCTCTCTGGTTAAAACCCTAATTACAACTCCAGTGTTTGTGACCAGGCTGATATGCCTGTACTCACAGTCACGTGCTTATGGCATGAGATTCAAAAGAGGAATGTGTTGTAAACATACAGAAAGAAACCCGATGCTGCTGGAGAGAGGCAGTGACAAAGAAAGAGGAAGACACCACAGTGAAGATCTCACTCTGCACATAAGGTCCCCAGGGTGGCAACCATCAGGCCACCTGTGTTACCTATGTCTGGGCAGGTGTCACATGTCCATCCCTCACTCCTGGGAAATGAACTTTCCCATGGGAATGAAAGAGCTCGGAGAGCCCCATTCAGATTGCTGTTTACTTCTATTGCAGATGCAGGTTGTATACCAAAGGAGAGCTGGCTCCCCCTTCCAGTCTCTATTCCTACAGAAACTCAAGGTCAAGCGAGCCTGTGCCCTTCTGCTCCACGGGAGGGTTCTGCCCTCCCAATAAAGGTCATCGGTCCAACCCGCTGGACTTGGCAGTTTCCTTACTATGATCTGCATCTGCTCACTTTCCGTGGGGAATCAGCTTTTGCTCATGTCTCCCCAGGAATAGTGTCACACAACTACTAGTGGCTTTTTCTCTTCATGGAATAGACAGCGCTTAGGATGCTCGCTCATACATGTCTGGCCTTCTGCTTCTCTGTAAGAGCTGAGTGTGCTGCTGTCTCACTGAAAAGCTGCGACATCACCATTTTCAGGCCAGCCCTGACATCTAGTGGCTGATGTGGTTGAAGTGAAACATGGTTCTTTCTCCACAAGGAGTGAGAAACTCTGTATTTGGAGCCAAATGCCAGTGACTATGCCAGGGAATGTGGATAGGCTCTGCCATAGGCTTCACCTGTCTTATAGCAAACAGAGCGTTAGGGTTGGCGTGAGCTAATGGCTTCCTAAAACACTGCGAAAGTTTCACCAATAGTAAGGTTTTGACAGTTGTAGTCTATGAAATAGATTGGCAACATACCGATTAATAGGGGAAAATAAGTTTTATTACTTATCAAGAAAGGAAAAAAATGGAGAAGCATTTTGGGTGTTTAAAACAAGCCTGGGAGTCTCTTCTTCAATCAGGCTTTAGGCATGCATGCCTCATCATTTGTTTCCTTGTTGCTGTTGTTGTTGTTGTTGTTTTATCAGGTTCTCAGGGAGTAGCCCTGGCTTGCCTCAAACACACAAACCTTCATCTTCTCCCAAGACATGTGATGTTGATCCAAGATCCAAAATCCCATGCCTGGCTGAATTGGACTTTTCTCCTGGGCTACAGGAATACCTACCTTCAGGTGTGGCCTGGTGTTTAGATCAGGCTGACCACAGCTGGAGACACTGTTTGTTAGGTCTCACCATCTGTGCAAAGGATCCCTTCCCCTCATCACACAGAGAGTTAGCTGTACCAACCACATTCTTATAAAACAGCTTAATTTTTCTATTACCCAAAATGAACTCCTGATTTAGAGTTTATAGAGAGCTGCCATTTTCTTTGAGTCTCAGAACACAGTTCAAAGCTGCTTAAATCACTTTCTCTCTGGTTAAAACTCTAATTACAACTCCTTTGTTTTTGTCTAGACTGACATGCCTCCAGTGGGTCACAGGGATATGGCATGAGATTCAACAGTGATTTGTGATTGCAAATAAACTCAAAAACAGCTAATGCTGCTGGAGAGAGGAAATAAGAGGTGATGTCTATTCTTGGTTGTCAACTTGACTATATCTAGAATTTACTAAGTCACTGGGTATACCTATTAGGAATTTATTTCTTAATTAAATCATTGAAGTAAGAAGACCTACTTTTAATCCAGATCTTTTGAGATGGGAAGATCAAACTTTAACTGGTGCCTCACCATTTGCTGGCAGCCTATTTAAAGGACCTGGAAGAAGGAAGCTTGCTCTCTCTTTGCTTGTTTGCTCTCCCTGGCAAGTTTATTCCTTCACTGACATTTGAGCCTACTTCTTCAGCATCCTGGTGTATATTGAAGGTGAGCTGAGACATCCAGCCTCATGAACTGAATAACTACTAGATTCATAAACCTTCTGTTGGGAGACAACCATTGTCGGAATAGCTGGACCACAGCCTATACACCATTCTAATAAATCCCATATATTTCATTGTTTAAATTCTGTTACTCTAGAGAGCCCTGAGTAATACAGAAGGAAAGAGAAAGACACCACAGTGAAGATCTCACTCTGCACACAAGGTCCCCAGGGTGGCAGCCATCAGGCCACCTGTGTTACCTATGTCTGGACAGGTGTCACATGTCCATCCCTCACTCCTGGGAAATGAACTTTCCCATGGGAATGAGAGAGCTCAGAGAGCCCCACTCAGATTGCTGTTTACTTCTATTGCAGATGCAGGTCGTGTACCAAAGGAGAGCTGGCTCCCACTTCCAGTCTCAAATAAACCTATTTCCTATGGTGGGATGCCTCGATTAGCCTTAATGCAAGGGGGAGGAGCCTGGTCCTGCCTCAATTTGATATGTCATGCTTTGTTGACTCCTTTTGGAGGCCTTACCCTTTCTGAAGAGTGGGGTTGGGGGGCAGATAGGAGGTGGGGGAGGGAATAAGATGAGAACCAACTGTGGTTGGTATGAAAAATAAATTTAAAAATTAAAAAAAAAGTCCACTAACATGACTCAGCCATGGAAGCCCCATTACAGGGATTTTTGGACCTCTTAACAGGGTTATTTACATACTATTATTAAAGGTTATCTGGAAGTTCTGAAAAAAGTTGAAAAAGAATAGAATAGTTTCCCTATATGATATGCCTTTTTATCTCTAAGTAAGCTGTCCCTTTGAAATGGAGTCACCTCCTTACTACTGAATACAGCAGCATTCCTAGATTCTAGATATCCACAGCAGGCCTGTGGTACTGTTAGTGCCTAAATAGCTCTGGGGTACAATATAGTATAGTACCAGTGAAGACCTTCCACTTTTTCCCAATGTTCAGTCAGGTGCCCAAGTCAAAGTCTGTTTCATGTTCCCTTTCCCATCTATCTCTAATATTTTCTGGTGTGAAGCCTTCACGGGCAGTGCTCTGGTTGTGGGTGCTCTGGTTTTATGGTTAGAATCAACTCATCCTGCTGCAGATACTCAAGTTCTGTGATGCCACTCATTATCTCTTCCTTGGTGGGACACTCCATGATGACATAGATGTCAATTGCCTGGAAGGAGTGCATAATATTTGAATGTTCTCAAGATTTCATGATCCCAACTCAGACATAATGAGGGAGGGGTCACCATGTTCTCAGAACTTTCACTGCCTCCCTGGGACTCTGTGAGGAGGTAGCAGGCTTGTACCTACCTTAACTTCACCCAAGCAGCCTTCAGGATAATCTTATAATTTTCTCAAGGGTCTCTGCATTGCAGGGATTTGCTTTGAGACCCCCTCTTCATTATCAGTTCCTCACTTCGGCCAGAAATGCTCAGTAAATTCACAAAATAGAGACAGTAGGTGAACACCTGTGAATCAATTTTAGAAGAGCTTGTAGGTGTAAATTTCTACATTAACAAAAGATGAATCTCCCATATGATTTTCATAAAGGCTATATTAAGCATACCCACCCTCCATAAATAAAGGTTCCTGTCTCTCCACATTCTCTCTAGCATTTCATTTGTTATCAGGCTTCTTAATGACTGCCCTTCCATCTGGGGTGAGGGGGCATCTCAAAGCAGTTTTAATTTGCATTTCCCTGAGGTCTAGGGATATTGAACAACCTTTAAAATAGTAAGTAGCCATTGTTTTCCTTTCTCTCTCTCTCTCTCTCTCTCTCTCTCTCTCTCTCTCTCTCTCTCTCTCTCTCAAGCTGTCTATTCAAGTCATTATCCCACTTGTTGATTGGCAGTTGTCTTGTCTTTGTATTTAATCATTACAATTTTTCATGAATTTCAGACATCAGCTCCTTGTCTGAAGTATAGGTGGTAAAGACTTTCTCTCCCGTGCTATGTGCCATCTCTTTGCTCTGCTGATAGTTTCTTTTGCTGTGCAGATACTTTAAACTTCATGTCATCCCATATGCTGATATTTGGGGCTAGTTCCTATATTAATGGTGTTCTACTAGAAAAGTTATTACCACCAGCCAGGTGGTGGTGGCACATGCCTTTAATCCCAGGACTAGAGGGGCAGAGTCAGGCAGATCTCTGTGAGTTTGAAGCCAGCCTGGTCTACTGAACGAGATCCAGGACAGGCACCAAAACTACACAGAGAAACCCTGTCTCAAAAAATCTGAAGGAAAAAAAATTTATTACCTACTCCAGTGTCTTGAAGAGTATACCTTTTGCTTCCTTCTCAGTGTCTCGGCATTTCAGGTTTGAATTAAGATCCTTGATCTATTTAGAATTGATTTTGTATAAAGTGAAAGGTATGAATCTAACTTCATCCTTCTGCATGTAGAATGGTACTGTGTCAGAACTATTAGTCTTACTTCAAATGCATGTTTTTGCCTCCCTTGTCACAAATTAATTGGGCAAACTTTTGCTGTTTGGTTTCTGGGTCCTCTCTTCTATTCCATTGGTCTGTCTATTTTTATGCCAGTACCAGGCTGTCTTTACCAGTAAGTCTGTTGTATAGTTTGAGATTGGATATTGTAACTCCTCCATAAATGTGTGTGTGTGTGTGTGTGTGTGTGTGTGTGTGTGTGTGTGTGTGTGTAATCTTTTGATCCCTATTCATTCTTGGATTCATTTTTGGGGGAAATGTGTGAAAAATTAATTCCACTCCTGGGAATATATACAAGGAACTCCATAGCCTACCATAGGTATCTGCACCTCCATGTTTATTATTCCTTGATAGAATATGGCAAGAAGATGGAACCAACGTAGTTGTTTGTCACATTTAATACATAATATCTGGCCCATGTGTGAAACTGGATACTAGTAAGCTCTAAAGAAAAATAAAATCACAAAATTTACAGAAAATTAATGTACTAAGAATTCATAATATTGAGAAAGGTCACACAGTCTCAGAAAGAATAATCCTGCATATTCTTACTCAGATGTGGATCCTAGTTTGTGTGATATATACACATGTATACACACACAAACACAAGCAAACATATAAACAGGTAGAGTATAACAAGAAAGAGCAAATGTTAGGTGATAAGAAAGGTCTGAATGCAGATAACAGACATTTAAACCATGAAAGATGTGATAAAGTTAACTGTTACGATTGTTTTAATTGAGCTATCGATTTTTTTTGTGGTAGGTATCTTTTTTGGGTTTTATTGCTGTGAAGGAAAACCACAAAACCACAACCATGGCAACTCTTATAAAGGAAACATTTAACTGAGGTGGTTCACTTACAATTTCAGATGTTCAGTCCATTATCATCACAGCGGAGAGCATGGAGGCCTGCAAGGCAGATGTGGTACTGGAGCTGACAGTCTTTACATCTTGACTCAGAGGAGACAGAAAGTTGACTGATCGTCACACTGAGGGAAGCTTGAGCAAAAGAGACCTCAAAGCCTGCCCCCACAGTGACACACTTCCTCTAACAAGGCCACACCTACTTCACAAAGCCACATTCTAATAGTGCCACTCCCATTAAGGGCCATTTTTTTTAAGCCACCACAGTAGGTAAATGCATAGAAATATGTTTGATAGCAAAAGTGTAAAATATAATGTGAAGTTCCACAGCTTGGGATTGGCTGTTCTCACAGTATTTCTAAAAGCTCATTGAGATGAGTGGACTTTGAGTGTGGCTAATTTCCCTGTGATATGTTTTTTATTTGCAAGTTCTTTACAATAAAATTTACTTAATACATAAGTAACAGTACTTTTGGATGAGTACAGCAAAGGATAAAAAAAGTTATCTCAAAGAAACATGTAACTGTAGACTTCAAGGTAAGAGAAAACCAAGAGGAAATGAGACACAAGGAAGCTGATAGAAAGAAGAAATAATGATCAGAGATGAAAGAAAAAATAATGGAAACTCAAAGAACACAAAAGACCTAAGAAACAAAGTGTCCCTTATTACAAAAAAAAGACACATTTTAGATAAAATTAAAAAGCATAAACAAGAGAGGAATAGATTTTTTAACAAAAGTAGATACTGAAGTGATATTACAACAGGAGTCACTGAAGTCCAGAGAACCACTAGGGAATAGGTTAAAAGTTTATATTCCATTAAACTAGAAAACCTTGGAAAAAATGAACACATACATGACCCATTAAAACTGAACTAAGAATGTGGGAAATACAAATGAAATGGACATCTTTTCCATCAAAGGGTTAAAGGAGACCAAGAAACTCCCATCCTCACAGAGATTAGTCAAAACACCAGCTGGCAAATTCACCCCCTAGCCAGCACTTTCCTAAGCTAACAGTATGGGCTCCAGGTTGCATCCTGCTCCTTGCTTATCAGCTGTGCTATTTGAGCTAGCCTACTATGCAAGGATTGTAAGAGTGGGAAGACCAGCTCTGGCCACAGGATCCCTTTGCATCAGGAATAATAACTCCATGGGTCCATTCTAGAAGTGCTTGCTAGGCTTAGAGGGGCTCTACACCCTTCTGCAGAAGTAAAACTTTTTGGCTTGTCAAAATACTTGGGATTGTGGGTTGTTCTCTTGCCGTGATGTTCTGTATGTCAAATGTGTTGCTCTGATTGGTTAATAAATAAAATACTAATTGGCCAGTAGCCAGGCAGGAAGTATAGGTGGGACAAGCAGAGAAGAGAATTCTGGGAAGTAGAAGGCTGAGGCAGAGAGACACTACCAACCACTGCCATGACAAGCGAGATGTAAGGTACTAGTAAGCCACGAGCCACGTGGCAACTTTAGACTAATAGACATGGGTTAATTTAAGATAGAAGAATTAGATAACAAGAAGCCTGCCACAGCCATACAGTTTGTAAGCAATATAAGTCTCTGTGTGTTTACTCGGTTGAGTCTGAGCAGCTGTCGGACTGGCGGGTAAGAGAGATTTGTCCTGACCATGGGCCAGGCAGGACCAGAAAAACTCCAGCTACATTCTCTTACATCTCCAGGGTCATTTCTTACATCCTGGTGTGGGACTCTCTCACCATGACTAGGAGTTGTTGGAACTTATTCTCATCCTAGAAGGTGAATCCTTGTTGCTATGGCCCTGGGAGAGGAGACATTACCTGGATCAGGGACCAAGGGACACCTAAAAGCTGAGTGGCCAAATGCTCACCCTACACAGGAAGCAAAGTAAGAATCCCAGAGTGTAAAGTACTTCCTTGGTGGCTGGACTCCGGTGGAGGCTGAAAATGTGACTGAGACAGCAGGCATGAGTTATTAAAAAAAAATGTGAAACAAAGGTCCAGGTGGAATACAAGAGACGTCCAATGCAGGGATGCTGAGTAACTCAGGTAGGACCAGGAAAGGGAGAAATGAGGAGTCTCCAGCTAACCTTTACCTGATAGTCCATGGGGGTGAATGAATGCTCAGGTTCCAGGAAGACTACTCCTGAACCAAGAGACAGAAAAGTGAGTGTGACTGAGAAAGATAATCCAAGGTAATGTTAGTGTGAATTCCCAGTCTGTCATTCCAGTCTCCTGTGAGGGACCCAATTGGAGATGGAGGAATTGAGTGCAAGACAGCTCTTCCTGTGATGTGACGGGACTGGTCTCCAGGATATGTTCATAAGGCACAAGGTGGTGCACAGGGACTCTTATCTGAGGTTTCTACCAATGCACTAGGAACTAAGAAGGGCCACTTTGATGCTTTCTCGGTGTTTTAGCCATAGAAAAGGAGAATTGAGTCTCTGGTCTAAACATAACAGACACGGGATTGGGATGGGAAACATGGCTTCCCCTTGGGTAAAGGGATGTGTAGAAAGATCTGAACCAATACCAATAACCCCCTGATGGTCTTCCAGCACATGCCCCAGTATTAGGAAAACAACCCTTGAACAAAAGGGGAGAAGGAACAACAGGTGAAGACTGGGTGTGTCAGCTTTTCCTAGAATATCTTAGTGAAAAAGCCCCGTGAGTCAGACGGAAATGGATTATGCTCTTTGCTGGAGAAAGGGACTTGTGAGACCCTCTTTTTTTCTGAAACAACAAAGGCATCAAAATGACTGAAGAGGAGAGAATACCTTCTACATGGGATCCCCTTGGTCACCTCTCTTGCTCTCTTGTCCCAAGAGTCACGGGTGTCTGAACCATCTGCCCCGGCTGCAGCCTCTGCTCCTCTTCATCCCTCTCTCCTCAGGTTAGGAAAGAAATGAGCAGTGTCAGAAGGACATCCAAAATCCTCCCTTCTCAACAAGGTTCCCACTAAGGGAGGTTCTACTGGGCGGGGGGAAGGTAGGATTTCTCAATGCCTCCCTTCCCAGCTCAGAAGTTTGAAATTTCTATAGGGAATTAAGGTCTGATAGAAGGGATGACTGTTCAGTTGGATCAGTTCCTTTCCCCTGATTCTATTCTTGGTCTTGGTTGATGTCAATATTGAGTATTTGCTCTCCTGGTATAAAGAAGGGGGTGATGATAACAAGGGCCACCATGGCTTTAACAAGTAAAAACCTAACACAAATAGGGGTGGTGATAATAGATGAAAAATTTCCAACTAACAACCTATGTTGGATGGTGGCCATGAGGTCCACAGAGACCAAATGAGGAATCTTCCACACTTTGTTCACAGAAAATTAGAGCGGCAGCAACCTGGTGACAGGATATGGACGAAAAAAATCTAGACCCCAGCATGGCAATGCAGAGACAGTCAGACTTTTGAGAGATGGAATCCACTGGGACAAGATTAAGCCAATCAGTGCCATCTTTAGGAAGGACTGATGTAGGTCCCTTGTTACCATGGAGTCTTTGCCTGAAACGCTGCTGTGGCTCTGGCCTTATAGGATGACTTCCTTATCTGCTGTGAGACTAAGTTCTCTGGAAAGGTCACATCTGTCTTGAAGAGTCTGCCCACTGACTGACTGGTTAAAATGTGATGATTCTTGAGAAGTGGGGTGTTACAGTTGAAAGCCAAAAGCGTCTTTGGCCATCGTCAGTCCTTTCCATGGACATCAATGACCCTCCTTTGTATGTGCCTGGGTATCTTTGTGACAATTAGGTCAGATATTTGCAGTGGACGGGGAAACTCCTAGCTGTCACCAACCTGAAAGTCCAATAGCATGTGAAACCTGTAGCCGAGTCTTCCCCACTCTGCCATATCCCATTTACCCAACCTATCTCATAACTGCATTGACTTTTGACTCTTTTTTTTGAGACAGGGTTTCTCTGTGTAGTTTTGATGCCTGTCCTGGATCTCGATCTGTAGACCAGGCTGGCCTCGAACTCACAGAGATCCGCCTGGTTCTGTCTCCTGAGTGCTGGGATTAAAGGCGTGTTCCACCACCGCCCATCTTTGACTCTTTTTTTTTTTTCTCTGTAACTACAAATGTTATCTAACCGTGGGAGGCACCTGGTCACTTAGGGCGACCTGAATCCATGTTCCCTGGCAGAGTCACTCACATTTGGCTTCAAACAAACTGTTGTTGCTCCTTGTGGAGAACGAGCTGTGTTTTACCTTGACAACAACAGCCACTAGATGTCAGGGCTTCCCTGAAAATGACAATGTTGCAGCTTTTAAATTAAAAAAAAAAAAAAAAGCCACAAAGCTCTTGCAGAGAAGCCAAAGGCCAGGCATGTATGAGCAAACATCCCAAAGCTATCTAACAGACGAAGAGAAAAAGCCACTAGGTGTGTGTTGTGTGACATGTGACACTACTCCAGAGGAGACTTGAGCAAAGGCTGACTCCCTGCAGAGAGGGAACAGATGATAGTCAGGGAACCACCACAGTCCAGCGGGTTGAACCAATGACTTCAACTGGGAGGACAAAAGCCTCCCGTGGAGCAGAAGGGCACAGGCTCACTTGACCTTGACTTTCTGTAGGAATAGAGACTGGAAGTGGGAGCCAGCTCTCCTTTGGTACACGACCTGCATCTGCAATAGAAGTAAACAGCAATCTGAATGGGGCTCTCTGAGCTCTCTCATCCCCATGGGAATGTTCATTTCCCAGGAGTGAGGAATGGACATGTGACACCTGTCCAGACATAGGTAACACAGGTGGCCTGATGGCTGCCACCCTGGGGACCTTATGTGCAGAGTGAGATCTTCACTGTGGTGTCTTCCTCTTTCCTTCTGTATTACTCAGGGCTTTCTCGAGTAACAGAATTTAAACAATAAATATATATGGGATTTATGAGAATGACCTACAGGCTGGATATCACACCATGATCCTGAAGAAGTAGGTTCCAATGTCCTGAAGGAATGAACTCGCCAGAGAGAGCAAACAGGCAAAGAGAGGTTCCTTCTTCCAGGTTCTTTAAATAGGATGCCAGCAAATGGTGAGGCCCAGATTAAAGGTGGATCTTCTCACCTCAAAAGATCTGGATTAGAAGTAAATCTTCCCACTTCAAATGACCTAATTAAGAAATAAATTCCTAATAGGTGTACCCAGTGACTTAGTAAATTCTAGATATAGTCAAGCTGACAACCAAGAATAGACATCACCTCTTATTTCCTCTCTCCAGCAGCATTAGCTGTTTTTGAGTTTATTTGCAATCACAAACCACTCTTTTGAATTTCGTGCCATATCCCTGTGACCCACTGGAGGCATGTCAGTCTAGACAAAAACAAAGGAGCTGTAATTAGAGTTTTAACCAGGGAGACAGTGATTTAAGCAGCTTTGAACTGTGTTCTGAGACTCAAAGAAAATGGCAGCTTTCTGTAAACTCTAAAACAGGAGTTCATTTTGGGTATTAGATAAATTAAGCTATTTTATAAGAATGTGGTTGGTGTGAGAGAGCAAGACAAACTCCATTTTTTCCTAATAGCACTAAGATAAGACGCTGAACCAAGTTCCAGAGACACAGACACCCAGCTAAGACTCCGGTCAAGGCGGACCCTCCCCACGCCCCCACACCCAGGGTAGGTAGGCTGCTGGCCAAGACATAGTTCTGAAGCTAAAACAAAGGCTTAATCCATCAAAGTCTCCAATGGTACTGGGAGAGTCTCCAAATGTGTTTTGTCTTCTGTAGTTCTTCTCTTGGCTAAATGTTCCTGTTAACTGAAGTATGACCTGAAATGCAAAGGCTTGGGCCCCCTAGCCTGCAGTTTTTCCCTTTAAAAACCCTGCACTCTGAGAGCTCAGGGCCGTCCTCCTTCACCTGACCAGCCAGTGTGTTGGACGTGGACCAAGTTCGGGCTTGCTAGTTTTAGTAAACCCCTTTGTACTGCATCGGATACTGGCTCTGTGGTGGTCTTGCTGGGGGGTCTTGCAACACGGGCACAACAGGTGAAGTGAACTCTCTGTGTGATGGGGGGAAGAGATCCTTGGCACAGATGGTGAGACCTGACAAACAGTGTCTCCAGCTGTGGTCAGCCTGATCTAAACACCAGGCCACACCTGAAGGTAGGTATGCCTGTAGCCCAGGACAATAGTCCAATTCAGCCAGGCATGGGATTTTGGATCTTGGATCAGCATCACATGTCTTGGGAGAAGATGAAGGTTTGTGTGTTTGAGGCAAGCCAGGGCTACTCCGTGAGAACCTGATAAAACAACAACAACAAGGAAACAAATTAAAAGCTCATCTTGAAGGGGCATGCATGCCTAAAGCCTGATTAAAGAAGAGACTCCCGGGATTGTTTTAAGCACCCAAAATGCTTCTCCATTTTTCTTTCCTTTCTTGATAAGTAATAAAACTTATTTTCCCCTATTAATCTGTATGTTGCCAATCTATTTCATAGACTACAATTGTCAAAAAACCTAGAAAGGAAATTAACAAAGATCGAACAACAAGTACTTGTAATTATAATTGTATATAATAGTTTATAATTATAATTGTAATTATAAACCACAATATCACAGGCAGTACCCTAATTATCTCCCTCATACATGTGAAGAAACTGAGGCATAGAGTGCTGAAGGGATTGGGAAAGCTGGCATGGGAGTCTGATTGTTCACCCACCATGTGAACCACTTTCTGAGATTTAGTTTTTGTTATTGTATGCACATGCGTGTGCCTGTGAGTGTGTGATGTCTTCTATGTGCTCTACAGAACAGATGATTGAGTTAGAAAATGAGATTTATTATACCTGGCATGGTAAAATAAAACCTTGTTCCATAAATCCTTCTCGTTATGAAACAAACTCGCGCACGCGCGCGTGTGCACGCACACACACACACACACACGCACACAAAGAAATGATAAATGATTAAGAGTACATACTGCTTTTGCAAAAGACATGGGCTTAGTCCCCAACACTCACATTAGACAGTTCATACTGACTGTAACTGACAGTCCCCAGGGAAGTGACACCCTTTTCTAGCCTCCAAGGGCACCTGCATGTACAGGTACACAAGTACACACACATACATTCAGGGACACATAGATACACATAAAATTAAAAATATATATTTTTAAAACGTACACTTTAGGGGGAAAAAACATTGTGGTTTCCTGCAGCCAAAACAGTGCATCCCATCTAAGGAATATTCGCTGGATACACTGATGCTTGTGGTATTGCCCCGGGAGTGAGCAAACTACCACTGTGGAGTTTTGTGGAGAGCAACCACTACCATTTGTGACAAGTGATGAAGTGAGATTTCACATGAAGTTCCTCCCACAATCTCGACAACATGCCCTCAACAAAGACATGGCTATTAGAGGTCAGCTGCCTGGTGCAGAGAGCACGAATTGCAACAACGGAGCTGGCAGTCAGGTTGTGGGTAAGCACTGATATACACAGCCTATTGTGTGCCACTGACTCTTCCTCTTCTAATCCTCTCACCGTATGTTAAGGGTCCTGGAGAGCCCGCCCTGCCTCCCTCAATTATCTCTGGCGGTCACTCAGGCTGGCACTCTCACAGTTTATCTGTGCTTTGGTTGTTTTGCTGCACTTGATGTTTAGATCTCTGAGGCTGACATTCCATCTATTTCTTTCACAAGTTCTACACACACAGAGCAGTGGCATTTCTGAGCGCAGGCCCCACCTGTGAGGATACAGGTTATGACCAGGATGTCTTTCCTACCTGGAAGCCTATTGCCAAGGTCACCAGGACTGCCACAGAGAGGCTTCAGAATCTGAGATGTCAGCTAGTGAGCCCCCTGGTGTCACTGGGCCTGGAACAGGCCACCAAATTCTTCTGAATACATTCCAAAGCAGGAGAGGGGGGAGAACAGGGTGTGGAAGGAAAAGAGAGAAAGCAGTCCCAGAATGTTTGACAGCCAAGAGCATGGAATCCAGAAGACACCTTGCAGACTGGATGGGTACTCGGGATTTGGACCCTACTCTGTCTCCCACCCAACTATGGGGCTGAAAGCTGGACTCCCCCCATCCTGTGGGAACTCATTGATCAGATAGCTGGCCCTCTAAATAGTCTCTCTGAGGTGTGTGAGCTCATCTGATGTTACTAGTTTCATTCTTTGTGAGTTCATGTACCTATTATCTACAGAGTAACTTTACCTAAGCCAATAGTGAAGAAATGTTCCCACCAGTAGGTGACAATGAACCTGGCCTTGCTATGTGTCCTTGCAGTTTTGTTGTTGTTGTTGTTCTTGTTCTTGTTCTTGTTCTTGTTGTTCTTGTTCTTGTTGTGGGTTTTTTTTCTCACTGTCACAAGCTGACGTTATTTGGGAAGAAGGACTTTCAATTGAGAAAATGACTCTAAAAGATGGGGCTATAGTTTAGCCTGTAAGGTACCTTCTTAATTAGTAAGGAGGGCCCAGCCCATTGTGGCTGGTAACAACCCTAGTGTGGTGGACCTGGGTTCTGTAACAAAGTGGGCTGAGCAAGCCATAAGGGGAAAGCCAGTACGCAGCGCTCTTCCAAGGACTGTGAATCAGCTTCTGCCTCCAGGGTCTCTCCCTGCTTGAGTTCCTGTCCTGACTTGCTTGAATGATGAACAGCCCTGAGCTGCCCTGTCACCATCACACTTCGCTTCCCTTTGGTAGAAGTGACCAGTAGCAACCACAAATAAAGATGGCAAAGACAAGAAATCACCTCTAGGAACATTTATAGGTATAAACTCTAACTTTAAAAATCAGAGCTCAAAAACAGTCAGGATACACTTCAAGGGCACAGGAAAACAAGAACAAATCAGACAAACCCGGTGGATGAAAGAAGGAAGTCAGAGCAGAAAGAAAGGGAAATAGGCAAAAGGTCAGGGGAAGGCAGATCCTTATTTCAAAGGGCAAAACTTTGACACAGTTACCTAAGGAACCCATGAACAGGGGTGGACTCTAAATTCAATCCAATTAGAAGAAAGGGTGATGTTGTGTCACATGTCACTCTAATCCAGAGGCTCCTTAAGCAATGTTTTTATAACTGATAGTCCTCTCAGATGGAAAATCTCAGTAAATTTCTAGACTCATGGGGCTGACTGAAATTAAATCGGGATGATAGAAAACACCTAAGCAGATAAACAAGAGCCAACAAACTTCAAGAAGGAAAAAAAAAACCTATGTCCCCAGAAAGGAAACCCAAAACCTGATGCAAACACCATGAATTCTCCCTGAGGTTTAAAGAACTGTGACCCATACTTCTCAGGCTGCTCCTTGAAGTAGAAGGAAGGATGGCATCCCCACTCACTCCGTGCAGCCATTATTATCCTGACTACATAAAGACACAATAAGACAAAAGTATAATCAAATTCTCTCTCTCTCTCTCTCTCTCTCTCTCTCTCTCTCTCTCTCTCTCTCTCTCTCTCTCTCTCTCTGTGTGTGTGTGTGTGTGTGTGTGTGTGTGTGTGTGTGTGTGTGTGTGTGTAAAAGCCTAGTCCTTAACACTAGGCTAGGGAGATGGGTCAGTCACCAAATTGCCTTCCAGGGAAGCATAAGGCCTGAGTTCAGATCCCCCAGCATCTGTATAAAAAGCCATATGTGGTGGTACATAACTGTAACTAGCACTGGAGGGTAGGTAGGGGCAGAGACTGAAAGATGCCCAGAGATCACCAGCCAGCCAGTGTAGCACATCAGTGATCTCTTGGCTCAGTAAAAGACCCTGTGTCAAACGGGAATGTGGAGAGTAAGAAAAGACAGTGGACATCCTCCTTTGGCCTCCATGTACACTTACATGGTCCTGTGCACACCCTCATATCTACATGCACATGCAATGCACATTGTCACCCACACACAAAAGAGAGTTCTTACTGAATACTTCACTTGAAATTCAACACCTCGTAGAAGTCCGCAGTTCAGCATCAAGATGGGCTTACCCGAGAATTCATGAAATGCAACCTAAACAAACTGACATACAGGATATACTCAGGAGCAAGGGCAAGAAGCACACAGCAGTTATGAAGAAGAATGAAAATTTGTCATTTTCTAGAAGTGGACTAAATTGAGATCACTGCATTCGATCAATTACCCAAAACAACAAAGACAAATGTCATGTTATTCCATATACTAGGAATCTGGGTGGTTTAGTGGTGGGCTTGAGTTAAGGGATGAAGGACTTGGAAGAAGATCAAAGGAGGGATGGGATGGATAGACAGTACCAGAGTAGACCAGGATTACATGGTCAGAGTGTATTGCACAAATGTTAGTGAAATTCCTTACTTTTTACAATTAATTCATACCACTGGAAATTTAAAATAAGAAAGAAAGCACGGCCGGGCGGTGGTGGCGCACGCCTTTAATCCCAGCACTTGGGAGGCAGAGCCAGGCGGATCTCTGTGAGTTCGAGGCCAGCCTGGGCTACCAAGTGAGTTCCAGGAAAGGCGCAAAGCTACACAGAGAAACCCTGTCTCGAAAAACCAAAAAAAAAAAAAAAAAAAGAAAGCACGATTTTAAAGTGATAAAAATAAAAAGCACAGTCATAAAAACTAAAACAGACAATTAACTTGGCAAAGTGACATAACAAGAAGACAAACCTGAATTCAAAATCCCCAAATGCATAAAGTCACATAGCCAGAAAACTAAGACTCTGAGTGTCAACAAAATGGCAAGAAAAAACTCACGATGTCAAAATGTGGCAGATGGTCAATGTCAAAGTCCAAACAATCACCAACGTCCAAATACAATCCATCCACCAACTACCCGCCAACCTCCAGATCAACCGAACAGCTCTCTTCACAGGACACAAACCAGCCCCGAGCAGTGCATTATATGGACAGCTGTGTGTCATTCCTCACAGTGACATGGCTCCTTGTGTGATCAGAGCACCAGTGGACCAATCACAGCTGACACAGCCCACTGTGGTTTTTCTCACTTCTTGTCCCCATGGGCTATCTCTATCAATTGATTTCATTTCACTGGGACCACCAACATGACGGGCAGCAACTTGAGGAAGAAGGGCTTTATTTTGGCTAATGCTTTGAGGGGGCAGGGAAGGCATGGTGGGGGCAGCTGGCGGCCAGGCCATGTGGTGGCTTACATGGCGTGGGCACTCAGAGCCTCCCAACAGTCTCTCTGTTCTTATGGCTAGGCTCAGAGGCAAAAGGTTAGATGGGATAATTTAAGAAAAGCTTGACTAGAAATAAGCCAAGCTAAGGCCAGGAATTCAAAAGAAAGAGTAAGTCTCCATCTATTTATTTGGGTGCTGAGTGG